AACCCTGTATAGGGTTTCCAGGGGGCATTTTGTGAACTTGAACCACAGACCCTGTGGTTCAAACTGACTTTTCAGTCCCTCGCATTAACACCACAATATTAAGAACCCATATTTCAAAACCACCAGCCTTGTTGCAGGAGAATGATGAGACTTTCTGCTCTTGTAAAGATTTACAGCCTCGGAAACCCTATTCAGGGTGGCTATGAGTCAGAACCTACTCTACGGCACACCACCACCATTTGTCTGAAAGAGAATTGAGGTGATGAAAAGGGACTAGTTTTCAAAGTCATCTCAACTGCACCAAGCATTGACCAGATTTTAATGTTAGTGTCAGAAAATTTCCCTTCACATAACTATCATTATGCTTTATGATATTTTTCTGTTCTCTGTTCTTCTTGCAAACTCAATATGAAAACTCTAGCTAAACTGGAAGAAAGGGGATTTACCTTTCTGAGACTAGAGAGAGGGTTCAGTCTGGCCTTGCAGGTTGGGCTAGGGATACTAGTGACTGTGTGTCAGGGGAGCTGGAGCAGGATGGGAAAAACTATTGAGTCAGCAAGAGATCCAGCTGCACCCAGCAGGGAGAAGGGGAAAGCTGAAAACAATTGTGATTGCCAACCCACATCCCCATCTGCGCTTCACAGGATGATGTGGTCCTTTTAATTGAGGAAATTTGGTTTAAAAAAGTTGTTAGGTCATTAACTTGGTAGCAAATCCCAATCTAAATATTAAGACTTTTATTTCTTTCTCCTTGCCATTTGACACTGGATTTTTCATATACAGTGCTCATGATGGACAGGTATAATACTTGCTTTGTAATCAAGAATGAGTAAACCTTTGGAGATCTAGCACTATAGAATGGGAGCAGATGAATTCGCCTTAATAGAGTGCACAGGATTAGAACTTTAACTGTAACTCCCATTGACCTATGAAGAAAGGCTGATTGCCAGGTCAGAAAAGAATTAAGGTTGCTAACTGCCGTTTCTACTGTTTTTTTTTTTTTGTTTTTTTTTTTGTTGTTGTTGTTTCGTTTGCTTCATCATGAGTCAGTTTTCAAGCCTAAATAAATCACTCAGTGACCTTTCTAATGGCTTATTGCTCCTCAGAAGTGAGGCTTGTACTTTGGACATGTTACTAGGAGGAACCAGTCTTTGGAGGAGGATACCATGTTTGGTAAAGTAGAAGGTTGTGAAAAAGAGGAATGGATTAGATGGATTGGCGCAGTGACTGCAGCAAGGGGCTCAAGCACAGCAACAAGTTTGAGAATGGCTTAGGATTGGACAGTGTTTTGCTCTGTTGTATATACTGTCAATATGACTTGGAACCAATGCCGTGGCACCTAACAACAACAACAGCAATGAAGGCTGTTGTATCTAAATTCTTCAGGCTACTATGCAGAGCTCCCACAATCTCACACATATCCACCTTCCTGAAGCTCACCTTCCCTCTGGCATTTATCAAGCGCTACCAGGTGCCAGGTACTATAAAAACCACTCCAACTGCCATCTACTGTGCTCTTGCAAAGTGCCATGTGTTGTGCCAGGTGCTTTATATACAGTATCTAAAATAATTTCATTCTTCCATCTTCAGTGGTGGGAATATTGATTCCCATTTATAGAGGAGAAAACCAAGGCCAAGTCAGAGGCTCATTAGGTCTGATTCCACAACACAAGCTCTTCACCATTCCTTCACATTGCCATTGTTCCTAGGTTGGAGGCTCATGAAGGAACAAACAAAAATCGCAAGACACAATGACATGCCAGGCAAGGGACTAATCTCTAAATTTGATAGGAAACTAAACACCTCTACAAGAAAAAGGCAAAAAACTCAATGAAAAAATGGGCAGAGGACATGAACACTTCACAAAAGAAGACATTCAGGTAGCCAACAAACATATGAAGAAATGTTCACTTCATTAGTCATTAGAGAGATGCAAATCAAAACAATAGTGCGATATCATTTCACACTAGCATTCAAAACAAAGTTCAAAAAACAGAAAACAACAAATGCTGGCAAGGGTGTGGGAGAGACTGGGTCCCTCTTACATTACTGGTGGGACTATAAAATGGTGCAACCTTTGTGGAAAACAGTATGGTGTTTCCTCAAAAAGTTGGAAATAGAAATAACATATGACCCAGAAATTCCCTCTACTTGGTATATATCCCTAAGAAACAAGAGTGATGACATGAGTAAATATATGCACACCCATGTTCATTGCAAATAGCAAAAAGATGGAGACAGCTTAAATGACTATCAATGGAAGAATAATGAACTTTGGTACATACATACAATAGAATACTATGAAATAAAATTCAATGTTGAAAAATAATGATGAATTTGGATTTACTGGCAGGAAGAGACTGGAACTTTTCAGGTCTGGAATGGAATGCACGCTTGTGGCCTGATTTTGATCAGATCATTACCCTATAAGCAAAGTCAATCCCCTCATTGAATATCATAGACAATGTCCCCTGCCCCCTGCTCTGGATCTGTGCCCCTCATGGGTCTGTTGGATTCTATTCCTCTTTACTGCTCACCTCAACTCTCTTCTCCCTTCAAAGCTGAGCTCAAGGGTGACTCTCCTCCAAGAAATCTTCCACCTACCTGTTCCACAGTTTGCTCGCTCTTGGCTGAGCCCAGGAAAGATGGCAATGTGGGGGAATTGTGAAGAACTTGTGGGCTCAGGACCTCCGTCTCAGGGACACCGTGGTCAATTAGCATAACTATCATTATTCATTTGACACTTGGAGCAAAAACAATCTTTTTATTTGTAATCACTTATTTTATGCATATGGAGCACAGTGGTAGCTCAGTGGGAGCGTCTTTGCCTTCCATGCTGGAGATCCAAGTCTGATTCTCAGACAGTGTCCTCATGCACAACTGCCTCCATCTGTCAGTGGAAGCTTGTGTGTTGCTATGATGAGGAACAGGTTTTAATGGGGCTTCCAGTATAAGATGAATTTGGAAAACAAGACCTGATGAGCTATTTCTAAAAGGAAGGTGAGTGGCTATACAACGTGAAGAATGTAATCAGTGTCAGCAAATGGCACATGTAGAGATTTGTTGAATTGGTGTGTGCTTTTCTGTGGATATTTTCAACAACAATAAAAAGTTGTTTTGAAAGAGAAAAAAGGCAGACCCTATGGATTGTAATGGTCTGATTTTTAAGTAATCATGGGGAAGGCATAGAACTAGGCAGTTTTTGTTCTGTGGAGTTGGGGTCAAGTCCATGATAGCTAACAACATTTCATGTACAAGTCCTACCTCTACAACTGGACTGTACATTTATTCAGGGCAAGAGATTTCTTAAATTGCTTCAGACCTAACCAACATTATTCGTTACAAGCAGTGTTTAGTAACAACAGCATTCATGGATCATATACTATGTGCCATGCCAGTGATAAATATTAAATTTAATCCTTATGAGAACCTTGCAAAGCAGGTATTCTTGTCCCCCTTTCCAGGAAGGCTAAATGATTTCCTATTACCATACAACTGACAAGAGGCAGAGCTGGGATTTGAACTCAGAGCATTTAGCTTGAGAGCCCCATTTCTTCCCTATGCTGTGCTGTCCCCCTTATCAGATGGATCTTTAGAAGATCTACCAATCTAAGTGCTTCAGGTCCTCAGATGACAGAGTGATTCTATTGATAGAAACTTGAGCTCAAAGATGCTTCACATTGGGTATGAGCCACTTCTCCACAATTCAAGATCTATTTTAAATCCTAAATTTAAAGATGGGAACATTTAAAATAAGAATAGCCCAAACAAAGAAGGTAAAGGAATGGAATAAATTTTAAGGTTGAATATTAAAATTGAATATTGAAATGGGAGGGAATTTATAGATCTTGTCAAATTCTTTACTTTTGTAACAAGAAACCTGAATCCTAGAGAAGAGAAGGGACCACCAAGATCACTTAAGCAGAAGGAAGACTTCAAGCCGACGAAGGAAGACTTCAAGCCGACTAAGGAAGGAATAGTTTCTGTTTTAGCATAGAAGAGATGTCTCTGATGTGTTCCCAAAGCTTCAGGACATCACAGAGATTTTGAGATGATGTACTATTCAATTCCTAATGGTATGTTTTCTTTTTCTAATACTTCCTAAGAAATCCAAATGCAAATCACAGATATGGACATTACAATGTTTATACTTGTTGGTAGTTGAAGTGTATAGGTGATTGGTGCAGCCAAACACAGCTGGCTATATAACTAAACAAAACTCCAATCAGTTGTCTCAATGGAAAGACAGACAGTTATTAGGGACATGCACATCTGTTCCACAATTGGGAGGTTGCCTATTTCCCAACAAAGATCAAACACTTTCAATTACTCTCTGCCATAAACACACTATGCTACACCCATTTACCTTCTGTTCATTCCCATTTCCCATCAAATATGTACGATCATAATGCGGCTTTCTGTGCTTCCATTGTTTCTTTTCCAAAAATAATTATGAAGAATTATTAACAAAGAAATTCAGCTGACAATACGGCCTTGTTCTGTATGTTCTCAAAATAGATTTTTTTTTTTTGCAGCAAATTTAAATGTAAAGATTTAGGAAAACATGGAAGAAGAAAATAACTGTACATCTAATTCAAAATCAAATGCTTACAGTTCGGCCTTCCCCAAAAAAACTCACTTTTTTTTTCTTAAATTGAATATAAATGGAGAAAAGTTTGAAGTTGTCAAAGACTTCAATTTGCTTCGAGCCCTAATCAATGCTCATAAAAGCAGAGTTCAAGAAATCAAGTGATGTATCATTGCATTAGGCAAATCTGCTGCAAAAGACTTCTTTAAATTGTTCAAGAGCAAAGCTGTTAGTCTGAGGACTAAAGTGCACCTGACCCAAGCCACGGTATTTTCAGTCGCCTTATATACATGTGAAAGTTGAATAATGAATAAGCAAGGCCATAGGAAAATGGATGCATTTGAATTATGATGTTGGTGAAGACTATTGAAAGTACCATGGACTGCCAGAAGCACAAACAATCTGTCTTGGAAGAAATACAATCATAATGCTCCTTACAAGCTGGGATGGCGAGACCTCATCTCTTGTACTTTGGACATGTTGTCAGGAAGGATTAGTCCCTGGAGAAGGATATCATGCCTGGAAAAGTGGAGGGTCAGTGAAAAAGGGGAACACTCTTACTCTAACAAGCTGGATTGACACAGTGGCAGCAATAATGGGATCAAACATACCATTTGTGAATATGGCACAGGACCAGGCAGTGTTGCATTCTGCTACTCATCGGGTGCTATGAGTAGGCACTGACTGGAGAACACCTAGCAACAATGCCATGTAGAATATTAACTTCACTTTTATACCCATTTCCTTACTGTTTTTCACTAATGCTTTTAAAAAAAACCCCACAAAGCTTTTTATTGTGAATTGAGTGAAGATTCACAGACAAGATCAACAACGAATACACATTGGTTCATGTCAATGATTGCAATTCCCTTCATGGAACAACAGTTATCCCTCTTCCTCTATGTGGCTCCTATTTCCATGTCACCCACGTTCCCACATTTGTCCTTAGGTATGTGTCGCTCCATTGATCTTGAATGATTAACCGTTCCATCATTCATAGTTCGCATACCTTATTAATGTTGTTTCCCCTGTATACCCATCTACCGTTTGGCTGAAAGTTAGACCATGAAGGTGAGTTCCTTTCTCTGAAGCATTTTGATGAAAGAGGAGAACTGTTAGCATTCCCACAAATCAGTAAAATGACTCCTAAACTCACCCTTATTCTCCCCATACTGCACTGCACCCCCTATTCTACCATAGTTTTAACTCCAAGTTGACTTCCACTTTCCTCTCAGTAAAGTTAATATATTTCCCCCTTATGTCAGCTGTTACATATTCAATGATTTTTCAATGAATCTTTATGATGGCTTATGAAAAACTTGATTAGAAAGCTTTTATGAGCATTGATTATGGCTTGAAGCAATAATCAATGGCTTACTGAATTTCTAAATAAAACTGAAAAATTTTAGCTACGAGCCTTACTCTTCATTTTTTTTAAACTGCAGATAACCGATAGTTCACTGAATTCTGTAATGCTATTAAAACATTTTAACAATTAGCTTTTATGAAATGCAATTGGAATGGAGTAATTGAAAAACAAAAACTCAACAGAAGCCTACAACTGAAGTCTAATTGGAGTCCTGGTGTGGTGTTGTAGTATATGCACTCAACCACAAGATCAGTTTGAACTACAAGGTCAGTGGTTCAAATCCACCAGCCAATCCTCAGAAACCCTATACAGGGTCCCTATGAGTCGGAACTGACTTACCAGCACTTAATGACAAAGTCTAAAGATATATATCTTAGTATATATATATATATGAAATATACTAGACATTGATGAATAGTTTATATTTTAAAATTCTGGTAGAAGATCTAGTATTATAATGAAGAAGGGCACAGGTAGAGATAAAATCTAGCGATAAAAGCCATTTATATACAATAATAATATATAAAAAACCACAATAATAATTGTGAAAGCAGAATTATAACTAAAATGTATAGATATTGTTTTGATTTCCAGACTTTGTTGTATCTCTTTTAATATGAGGATTTTTTGTTTGTTTGTTTGTTTGCTTGTCTCTACCTTCTCCCTGCAACTTAGATTTTTTCCTACTGCAAAAAATGTGAAAAATATTTCATAGTATCAGAAATAGATGCTCTTCAGAGAAAACATCATAAACATAAGTCCACAGAGCCCTGTGTAATGTATCAGAATGCTGTCACAGGTGGACAGCTATTTGGACATCCAATGGATACTTCCTGGTAGGTCCTTAGGAGCCTTGGTGGTTAGGCATTGGGTTGCTAACCAAAAGGTTGGCATAACCACTCTCTGGGAGAAAGATGAGGCTGTCTGCTCCCTTAAAGATTTACAGTCTTAGAAACCACATGGAGTTCTACTCTGTCCTGAAGCGTTGCTGTGAATCTGAGTTGGCTCGATGGCGGTGGGTGAGTGCAAGGAAGATAAGGTTTCTGAAATGCATGTGTATCCATAACAAATTATCACAAACAAGGTGGTTATGAGTTGGTACTGACTCAACGACACAACATCAACAACAACAACAGCAACAGCAACAACGATATTATTTTAAAACAACCAAAATGCATTCTTCCACTCTTCTGCAGATTGAAATATGAATAAAGGTGTCAGCAGGACTGCTCCCTCTAGAGGCTCTAAAAGAGAATCTGTCCTTTACCTCTTCTACATCTGGTTGCTGTCTGCACTCCTTGACTGAGGCCACATCACTCTCTGCCTCTGAGGTAGGTCACTTTCTTCTCGGGGTCCTCTTTGATGCTTGCCTCTATCTCTCTCTCAAAACTTCCTCTGCCTCTCTATTGTAAGGATGCATGTAACCCAGAACAAACTCTCCTTTTAATTTAAGATCTTTGACTTAATCACATCTAGAGAATCCTGGTGTGGCACTGTAGGGTAAGCACTAGACTGCTAACTGCAAGGTTTGCATTTCAAAGCCACCAACCATTCCTTGAAAACCCTAAACAGGATTCCTGTAAGTTGGAACTGAGTGGACAGTACTCAACAAAAGAAACAAAATACAGATTTGATGTGGAGTCTTTTGAGGGCTACTTTTTATTTTCCTTTGCCTAACACAATATGCTTATGGTAAGTATCATTGAGTTGGCTCTGACCCATGGTGACCCTATATAGGGTTTCTAAAGAGCAGCTGGTGAGCTGGAACTGCCG